ATTTTTTCTTATAAATTTCATGATGCTGAAATAAAATGCTATTGTGAAATTAGTGATTTCTTTTACTGATCATGTTTACAAAATATTCACTGTACTGAGAATTAAATTCATGAGGGATTTTATGTCTGTGGAATGCTTAGACACACTGAAAATATAACTTTGGTTCCAAGTTAAATTAAAATTTCTTCTGATATGCCTACATAACACGAAAGATTGAAATTTCCAAGGCTTATTGTAAATCTACCTCTTATTCATAAATATATAACCTGGTGAACATTGTACATTTATAGTACTCTCTTAGTAATTAAGACTTAATGTTAATAATACTACCTACACATAAAGAACAATTATTGTAGTCCTCCTCTGATATTTCAACTATGCACTGAAATCTGTAGGGAAGTTTAATATTAGTTAGGAGATAAAAAACGCCCCCAGTAGCAAGAGTAATTCTGGTTTTCTTATTATGATATATCTGACGTTGGTCACACAAATATCATAACTGCCTGAGGTTATGATTCCATGCCAAATGAATGGCATCAACGATGACACAGATCACTCTGATGAGAATGATCCCATAAGGTTTCATACAGGAGACAGAATCTGAGGTAAACTTTTTGAATTGGACAAAAGTTTGATAGGAAGGATGGGAAAACAAAATATCCCAAAGTCGAAGATAGGAAGAAATAATGTATGATCAGAGAAATATAAGTAAATTATTTTGAATATAACAAACATTAGGGTCAAATTCTAGAAGATCTTAAAAGCCATGCTAAAGAGTTCTGATTACTGCAGAATTGTGAAGGCAAGGGAAGTTTTTAGTGTATGATCATAATTATACTTCTAATAGCATTTTAAAAGAACAAATTAGAGGCTAAGTGGGGATTAACATCTATATATTATTAATGGTCAGGGCCCAAACCGTATCATGATTAGCAATCCCCTTGGTACACACACACACATACACACACACAATACTACTCATCAAAAAAAGACTCACTTTTAGATAAACCTACATGATAGCAAATCTACTGATAATGCAGATAACAATTATTATTAATACATATTTTAGACAGAGAAAGACTAAATTATGGGCTCAAAGTATTCAAGGAAAGTATTTCTTGACTGTCATTCAATAACAGTGTGGAAAAAAATTATTCTGAAATACAAAATCATTAAGAATCAAATGCTGTGATTTTAAAGTTGATCATTTACCAAAGACAATAAAGTTCACCGCCAATCTTATTGGTGGTTGCAGCTTTAAAAGAGTCATTGTCAAGAAAACATAAGCAAAACCATTCACAAAATATCCTGAATCTTTTCCATGAGTGATTTTACAAATCTTGTGAATTTCAGGAAAATAAATATAAAAGGCATACTGAGAAGCTCACTGACAGTCTTTCTAAAGCTAGCTGCCCTCAATTTTTATTTGCATAACTGAAAGAAATGCTGCTGAGGTATACATGGTCAAAATATACACTTATATTAAAAAAAAAAAGAAAGAAAACTAAGTTGAAAACATAAAGAACTAACAGTAAATAAGAAGAGATTCATTCAAATGTTATTTTAAACAAGTACAGAAGCCAAGAGAGTTAACAACTAATAAATCATTTTCTAACCAGCAGAAGTCTCATTCTTAGGGAGGTCTAAAATTACTATTTGGCTTATCAACTATGATCTGTAATAAGTTATGTGCTGGAAAGAAACAAGAAAAAGTCTTCATGAATTTGCTGACCAGAATCCTAACTCTACCTCAGTCTTTTCTCTTTTCCTCTATAGATGTTGAAGTTAGAATAAATTTTACTCTTTAATTTTAAATTTATAATATTTTAGATTCCAGAGATGGGACTGTAACATTCAAATACATATGCTAAACAAAAAGATGACATTAGTAATGAATAAAATTAGTTACATAAATCAACCTAT